CCATCGACAGGCCAGCTCGCCCGCTGCTACTCGCGGGCCCAGCCGCGCGAGCTTTCGGTTTCGGTTTCGGGACACGCCACGTGCGCCGCAGTGTGTATTTATAGTGGGAACGCGGCCAAAAGCAGCGCGTGTCACCGCCGACGAGAACGTGTGGTGCCCGCGACATCCCGTGGGATATCGCGAACGACACGCGTGGAAAGTTGTTTTTTTTCTGGTGACAAGCCGGGATAAGAAGACGCCCGGCTCCACTCAGAGCCGATCGGAGACCGTTCCTACCGCGACGGTGTGCCCCGAATGCATCGATCTGGTGGATTACCCGAGACACGCGCCCCGTGTTGGTGATTTCCACCGCGAGTGCTGGTTTGTGTCCCTTGTGCGTCGACGACGGTTGTGTGACACGGCGCGTGTCGGTCCCGAGGAGGATGCCGCCCAGCTGAGCCACGGGAACATGCTCCTGCTCGACCGCCGCCGTCGCTCCGGCTGCTCTTCGCGGATGAAACTGAATGGTGTGGCTCATTTTCTCCCTTATACCGGCCAGTTCGTTCTCCGCTCGTCGAGTGTGCCCTCTGACTGGATTTTCCGCCGTGCACTGTGTGTGTGTCGCGTATTTCACGGTCCCCCGACCGATTCCCGGGGATTCGGATGTTTAGCGTTGTGTCGTACCTCGTGACAGCTGCGATTCGTTAGATACTTCGGAGATAGTGCTCAGGCTTTACACCTATCGTTTAATTAGATAGACCACTTCTGAAGCATTTCTCTTTATAATCCTCGAATGCGAAAGCGTCTAAGATCGGAGAATTCTACGAATAAGAGATACTGTTCCAACGTCGAAGTCCGGGTACCTTTAATGACACTTGTCAGAATTCGGTGCTAGGAACGCGCAAGCTAATCACTGGCCAAGCCCCGTCGATCCCAGCGCTCGCTTATGGGATTCTTCTCGGTTTTAATGATCCCGCGGTCCGAGGCTCGCGCGAAACCCGCGTCAGCCAGCGCGGCGCAGAGATAAAGCCCTATTAAGACCGTGAAACGCGACGATAAACCTGGACGCGGGACAACGAGCATCGTGTGTCCGTACACCGGGCAAGCATTTTTACGACGTTGCCGTTGTTAAGCCTCGCCGGCAGTAAAAAGCACGTATTAAAGGCCCGGGGCCCGCGTAAACTCGTTAAAAGCCCGAGAGGCCCGCTGGGGGAGCGTGCCGCTGCGTCTTCGCGCTGTCACGTCTCGTCGGGACCAGAGATCCTCCCTCAATAATGACCCGCGCGGCTCGCTCAAGCGCGCGCGATCGTTATTACTTCCGCGTATCCGCCTCGCGTGCGACGAGCCCTCGTGTCTCTACCCGGCCGTCGCTGTTAGCCGAGACTTCCGCTCGCAAAAAATCCTGATGGAATAGGATACAGTCTGTACAAGGAATTTCGCTAATCCCTTGTCGCCCGTTGACGACCGACCGTGTCGCGTTACGATTCAATTCTCGAAACTAGCCGACGCTAGTTTCGGGGACGGGTTAGGATCGTCTGGCGGATGTCATTTCGACTCGGAGACCGGAATTAATTACGAGACAGTGAATCCTGTGTGATCGTTGCATCGTCCGTCTTGAAGTGATCTGGAGGAGAAACGTCGAATTTGCTTTGTGAACCTTTGTGCCGATTTACGTGCTCGTGACGGTTGATTGTAAGGGTTGCTATTTTCAGGTTTTTTGAGATTCCTCTATAGTTTTGACAGGTTAGTGTCGCTACTGATTGACAGTAGTTACTACTATCTTACAGTTCGTCGGCGTTCTAGATTAATGACAAAGTTCATTCGCTCAGCTCCACTCTCGTTACGATTCTTCGAAGTTCTTCTCGATTCTTCTCGATTCTTCTTCCTCCGAAATGCTCATCTCCATTCGCTGTTCGACAGACTCCCTGAAGCGATGACATTATTCTTCCCCGGCTGGCGCTGGGACAGGTTCATTTCAGAAATCATCAATTACGACGATTTTCCGTCCGGATCCACTCTCGGTTCGCGTAATCCCATAATGATTTTCGTTTACCGTAACGACGTGCTTACTCTCGAGGGGTTGCTCGAGCGGACGTTCGATTTCCCAGCGATCGAGCGACGATCGGCCGACAGAGAAGCCAACGGCACGACCAATCAATGTATCCGGAAGCGGCGGAAGGCTGTCGGATAAATAGCGCGCGAGGATCGGCGATGACTTCGGATCGGCAATTGAAACGAGGATCGAACACGTGGCGGCCGCTCGGAGCTCCTCCTTCGCGGCCCTTAATGAAGCGATCCCTATCGGCCGGCCGAGATCTGATAATTAAATCATGCACCGGTCCCGCGGCGTCGGATATTAATTGAATCGCGATCGGAATCGATCTACCTCGTTTCGCAAACACGTCTCGCGATCCGGTCCCCGGCTCCTTCTCGCTCGCGACGGGTTATGAATCGGACGCGCACACCGCACCGTTAACTTCTCCGATCGCGTCGAACGGCGAGGGGAAACGAAACGAAGCCAGCGGGAGGAAAGGGGACCGACAGAGAAGAAAAAAAAGGGGGGATGGACGTTTCCTCGGGGCCGCGAAGAAGCTTTTAATCCTTCGCCGGCGAATTTCGGGAATTACGGGTGCCTCGGTTTAATTGACCGGATCTTGTTAGCGACGCGGGCCCCGATGAAATTGAATATGCGGGGCTTATCGCGGACACGGGGACCCGTGACGAGAAGAATTTCTTCGGCCCCGGAGCGGCGGGGATCGAGGACCGGCGACTGCCACCGGGGACTCTCCGGCTAACTGTTTTCTCGGCAAACAGACCCGGTGGTCGTGAGAATTGTCAATGGTGTTGATCAAACATTACGCTGGCGGGGGCAAGCTGCTTCTGCCCGGCAGCCACTTCGCGCCGACCGAAATTCGCTTTCTGTCTTTGGACGTTCACGTTGGGGACATAGAAGTTTTGACAGAAGTTTCTTCTTTTTTCTCCCTGGTAACTGTCATACAAGATTGTAGATCGTCGAGACGATGGTTTGCTTCTCGCTCAGCTTTCGAGCCGTACAAGGTCGTCGGTTTTCTAATACTAAGTTCGTTTCAGAAATTCTGGACAAGTACTCATGACTAGGTACATTTTTCTCGGCTGGCTTTGTCGCTCGAGCGTTTCGTAGCTTTGGGGATAGAAATCTTCTGTTTGCATAGAGTAGCTTGAAGTGACCCGAAACTTAGAGGCTCTAGTGTTTAGTGTTAGTAGACTTTTCTTATTACGAACAACCGCTATATTCATTCTTAGGAAGTATTTTTGTAATGAATTCTTTTTTAGTCTTCGGTAGCGAAGAATGTCTCTACATCTGCGATTGTTTATGAGTAAACTCGAACTAATACAGACCTGTAGAGAGCAATTTTCTGTGTCTCATGGTTAAGAATCTCCAGGTAGGTTTCCGAGCGTACAGAGTCGCAGAAACGACAACGTTTGCTACAGAGATGATCGGGGCGAGTTTCGCGTCGATCCGTGATTGTCAGTTGTCGATCGATAAGATCGAGACGCGGGTCGCATAGGAGTCGCGGTATAGGCGTCCGCGTTGCCTCGAATAATCGGCGTGGCGTCCGTTTCGGGCACCGCGAATAAATTCGTACGCGAGAGCCCGTAGTGAAAGATCATGAGAAGATCGGCACGATCAGATAAGCATCGACGGTACTCGGGGGCTGATGGGTCCGTGACGACGAAAAGAGTCTTTGGAAATGCGTGTCGAGGCCGAGGCAGCCGCCAGGGAGCCTCGTGGGAGGGGCCAGGCAATTCCTCTCCGGTACCAGGAGGGTCTCCGCATCGCTGTCCGTCCGATTTCTCTTTCGCAACCCTCTTTACTTTTTCTCGCAAAATTCGCCTCTGACGCGGGCCTTTTATCAGCTCGACCGCGATCATCGATAGTGCTTCGCTCCCTATTCTTATCGATCCTTTGATTCGGGGAAAGCTATTTTCTTCTGATAACGTCGGTAGACTCTTCGAAGTCGCACGTTGCAGAAACAAGGTAGGAACGTTCGATCGCATTGGGCCTGAGTTTCATAGCATCGAATTTCTGTTTTTGATATCAATTTTTATAGAACTGAGGTGTATTTGATTTTAGTCAGGATTTTAGCTTGGAATTTTGGAAACTGAGAGAAGTAGCTATTACAATTCCATATTTAACATAGTACGAATCGGTAATAGAGATGTAACGTTCTATATCGAGTTGAAAAGCACGACGGTCATTAAATTCGGTAAGAAATTCTCACGACGATTTCTTCGATACTATAACACCAAGAGGATAAAACGACCAATCTTCCGTTCGTTTCTGTTGTGCAACGATCGCAGGCGATCATAAACGAAAACGGCGCAAACGACAATCGCCGGCCTCGAGGCCCGCAATCCCCGAAATCGCGCGTCCCGCGATTTCCGCGTCGAACGGGCAACGTATCCGATCCCAGGGACCACCGTAGCGCAAACGTTTACGTCCCCGGTGCGTTAATTTCGTAACTCGATAAGTCATTAAGGTAACAAATTGCGCTATTAACCCGGCCACGGTTAATTAAGCAGGGCGTCGTAAACGGCAGAAAAGCGTCGCGGATTAATGGACGTTGGATCGAATTCCCGGGGCCGCCGGTTAATAACGATGTCCGGCGTGTAAGTAGGTTGAAAATCGAGACGAAAAACGATTCGTTGAGCGGAGAGTCCGAGTCCGACAGCCGCGAGCCTCGCCGAGGCGTTAACGAACGGTCGCTCCTGTCCGGGCGACGAGTTATAACAGTGATTACGATAATCGCGTACGGCACGCTCTCGATCTCCGGGGCGGATTATAATCCGGCAGAACCGATCGTGCCGCGACTTGCGTAATCGCGCGATAACGCGATAATGCCCTGGCTAATAACACGCCGCGCGACGGTAATACCTGGCAAAGTGATACTTAAGGGAACGTTAATGCGCTCGCGAACGGGAATCGGGGAGAAACGTGGAATCAGAGTCACAGTTTACCCGCTGCCGAGTGCTCCTGATTTTTCATTTTGATGCTCGCGTGAACGTTCGATGTTGATTCGATTAAGGTTCAATGTGCTGTTTTAGTAATGTATTTAAGAACGTGCGAGGAGTATTAATGTTGTGCTAATATCCAATGTAATTATAGTGTTACGAATAAGTTTAGAAGAAATGGAATAAATCGAGTATCGTCCGCTCAGTTCGGTAATTATTTTGTTACAGTAGTTGTTTTAGCGAGTATAGTTTTATTGTTCCGCAGGTGATCTAGGAAAAATGCATCACGTTGAACTGTAATTGAATTGAATGATATTCATGCATGTTTCCAAATGGGAAACCGGGAACGCTTCGGATAGCAGAGGATCGACGATAAGTTTCGAAAATCGCGACATCGTTGTCCGAGAAGACAGTGGCGCTTGAGAGAAGGTACCGGAGTAAAATAAAATCTCGTTGAATCGATGTTGTTACACCGGGGCCTCGCTTAACGCGTCTTTCTACTCAGTTGTGTAAACCTGTGGCACTGTTGCGAACGAATGTAAACATCGTCCCGGCCGTTCCGATCGTAAACCGTTCGCCAGTAGACCGCGGCACGCAAATCCCCCGTTTTATAGATTATTTTACGAGGGTTAAACTGAAAATGATTTCCTCCGCGGAGCGATTTATTAAGTCGCGAACGGAGTAAAAAGAAAGCCACGGCATTTTATCTCGCGTGTCGTAAACGCGCGCGATTTGCGGTCTATTCCTGATATGCGTTTCCATCGAACAATACGTTCTCGGATCAACGAAATATATCATCGTAGTAATTATTCTCTCGCTTTCGACCTGTGAGAATCGCGTCCGCCAGCGTAATCCGCGACGAAACGCATGAAAATAAGACAAGATTATCTTAGGCTTTCGAAACAATTAACATAAAAATCACCGAACATCTAACACCTCGCGGTGGGCGTCGTAGATCTCTCAATTTATCCGAGTAACGATCGCCAGCTCGCGATCGGTTCCACATTTCGTCGAATATCATCGAAGAAAATAAATTCCGAGAAACATGGAAATTTGACGAAACGACTCAGCGACGACTCGATTAATCGTCCTCGACTATTCGCGCAGAGACGACGCACTATTCGAGAGAACGCGAAGATATGTGGATCGGTGGGCGAACGAAGCTACGCGGACAATTAAAAATGTGCATAATAATCGGCAAAACCGGTGAGGAAGAAAATCGTTGTTGGTTACGTGGGCGCTTATTTAGTGCGCAGAGCCTCCCGTATCTCCGCAGGATCGCGGCTTTAATAATTTTGGTGTTAATTAAATGGCCACGCGTGGGTGCGCGCCGTGAGCCTTCCACTCGCGTGTTTTGTCAACTTTCACTGTCGCTCGCCCGGCCACGGCTAACCGCCGCTGTTTTAATACACCTCGATGATGGTTATTAAACCGCTCGGTTGACGAAAAGCGACGTCCGCGACGGCGAAAACGTTCGCGCGCCGCTTCTTCGGCTCCGACGCTGTCGATATCGACGGTGCGCGCCGGCCGTGCGCATCGCCTGTGCGGTCGTCGAAGTCTCCGACCGCGCCGAAGGATCTCCCGCTCCCGCTCGCCGATCCGAACGTTTATCTCGCTCGTTTTTGCTTTCCCGCGTATTTATCGCGTCGACTGCCGCGAGAATTTTCAGCGTTTTATGTAATATTACTTATTCTTTCGTAGCAAAGATAAATTGTATTATATAATATTGCTGGGTTTTACGTAATATTACTTATTCTTTCATAACGAAGATAAACGGTGTTAGAACTGATTATTAATCACTCGGTGTTACAGCTAGCAGATTATACTATTATTTAGTTACTTATTTTATTATCGTAGTTGTTCACCTGAATTAGTGAAATTATTCGAAATTGAATTCGGCGATTCTTATTCTGTCTGAATCTAGTAACATTAGATTAGACTCGTCATGAGGATTTCAGATCGTATCTCACAAATATTATTTACTTCGCATCGATCAAAAGGAAACTCTATTCCGGAGATATGAATATTTAATTTAAGTAATAAACGTATGCCTACAATTCGCATCGCTCAGTTCTCTCGATGAAAAATTATTAGCAATGAAATAACTCTTGACGGCATTATCAAAGCTGTTTACTGTTTCATAAAACCGGCGTTTAATAAAAGGTATTCTTCGTAGACAAGTTTACTAGGCAATTTTTCATTCTTCTACATCCCTCAAGATAGCTGTGCACGATTTATTTATTTATTCCTGATTCTCCCGGGATATTTTCAAAGATTTATAGCAGTTTACACGTTTCTTATGACTTCATCGGCACGGACAACGTTCCGAAAATTTACAACCATTTCTTCGTAGAACGGTATCTGCATTCGAATTATCCCAAAGACATTTCCACGCGAAAATCGGAATGCGACCGAAGATTTTCCGTCGCGAATGATTTTTTCAGTCGGCTTTCACTCCTCGAGATTTTTCTGAATGGCCTGCCGCTGGGCAGCCGTGCCTCTCACGTTTTCGAAAGTTACACGAGCCGCGTCCGTGGCGGCCGTTTCCCGGTCCGTCGATAATTCACCGTAATTTTGCGGCGCGCAGCGACGAGCGCCGCCCACGCGTTCCGCCAACCCGACCTAAACGAACGCGAAAGAGAAAGGGGAGAAAAAAAGACGGGCGCGCGTACGGCGAGAGGACGAGAGCCACGAAAGAGGGGAGAATTGTCCCCTCGGCTTTGCCACCCCGGACTCTATTAATTTGAGGCGATTAGGAGGACCGATTCTTGCCGCTAATTGCCCGCGGGACCGAGGGGAGGCAGATCGGGGATTAATTAAATTGAATTAAGCTTAATTAGCCGTGACCACTTGAATGGCGGTGCCGAGTAGCCGGGTACGCGGCGCGTAGCCAGCGATAGACGAGTCGAGAAGTTAAACGAACCACGAATCACACGACTGTTCCTTTTTTCGAATAGTTTCTCTTCCGAGCAATGGTCATTACCATTCTTCAATTATCAACCGATCGGTCGTTTTCTCTTTCGAACGAAAGCGTTCGGAGAATTCCGAGGAAAACCGTCCGTTAGGACGCGAATCGTTTCGTCGAAGCGAGATGAAATGATCGATGCAGGCAGGACTGAGCGTAAGTTTCCAGCATAACTTGCCCCTTCGCTAAGTCGTTAAAAATACGCCGATAATATGCGGAAGGAATTTCTCAGGAGGCGTTGAGAACATGGTCATCGATTTCAACGTACGGAGTGGGGTCTACTTAATAGTATAATCGTATCACCGATTCGTACGCAAACAAGCGAGCGTGGCGAGGATTCGTCAGCGTGCCGACGCCGATTAGGCGTAATTAGCGTCCGGGATCGGTTAGTCAGAGGATCGCCGCGAACCGGGACGGTCGTGGCCGTTGTTAACGAGATAAAGGTGAAATCAATTCTCCCGGCGGACCGTGTAAGTACGTCCGAGGAGAAAACGCGCGTGAAATTCAAACGGAACCACCTCACGGCGCAATTAAGTTTCGGGGGCCCCGAGTGAAAGTGTTACATCACAACGGTCGATTGTTTAAACGTTGACGATTAATTAAGGGCCGGTCGGAGGCGCAAGCTCGAGAGTTTGTTTCGTAAAAGCGGCGAGGGACGAACTTCAGCGGGATCGACGAACGGAGAACGAACGACGGGGATCTCGAAGGCGTCGAGTACTCGATGATCGATGTATTCGACGGTCGCCGATCGTCGACGGGAGAATGATCCCGACGATCGGTCCTCGAGATCGCTAAAGAAACCGTGGACTTGCAGGGACCGCCGATCGTTGTTGGAGCGTCGAAGAACGTGACGAGGCGTGGAGCGAAGTTTCGTCGACGGCATCGTTACCGAGACAAACGGATTCTATCTAGTCAGTGTCCGTGGGGAACCAGGTCAGCTGTGATAACGCGGGACTCCCGTGCTACGGTGGAACCCGTTCTCAGCGGCGACGGTCTATAGAATCGTCGCGTGAAGTTCTGAGTAGGAACAGTTTTTAAGTTAATCGACACGTGTGTCCGTGGATCACGGACAGATTATTTGTTGATCGTGACTCGTGGGACGACAATGGTTACCTTGGACACCGAGCAGAAGCCCGAGAGGCAGCACTGCGGCCGCCGCATGTGCGCCATTTGTAGACGCATCAAGCGCGACAAAGGTAACGTTCGTTCAATTGTCTTCTTTCTTTTCTCTCACTTTCCCATTTCAGTTGCTCGAGGGCGACAGCTGTGTCCCATAGGCAATTTATCGCAACGTGCATCATCGCAGCTGGGAGTCAACGACGCGCTGCGATGATAACGAAGCGTCGAGATGAGTTTCCTTAGACACGGCTCCCACCCGAAAGCTTGAGACCTACCTTTCCCGTTTTCCACGTCGCAGCGGTAAGATTAGAAATTAGCGTTAACCGCCTTGCTGGGTGGTGCGTAATTGAGCACGGAAACAACGGGGGCCACCAGCGAACCGGAAACGCATCGTGAGACCGCCGAGGAGCCTCCCGCAGCCGGGCTGAGAGCAGACGCAGCCCCGCAACACGTGGAGGCTTGACGTTCCGCGTACGCGAGCACCTTTTCACCGCGCGGATTCCTCGTGGCGTCGTTAAAACAACTAATTATTTTTCCTCTCGCGCGATTATTCAGCGCGCTGCGTTCCCCGCGGGGTTAGAGCATAGACAGCGGATGAATTAAACGCGTGACAGAACGTTTCGCGCAATTTCCGCGGCGAGGGAAGCGCATCGTACGCTCGGCCCGCCGTTTTTGCGCGGCCTGCGTTCGACCAACGCTACGTTTCCGCGTTGAAATCCCATCCACCTGTCGGTGCTTGCGATAATTGTTCGCGATACGTACGCGCTTCTCGGAAACTCGTTCACCACGGGACTCCTCACGCTCGCGCGGGACGGCTCCGGGAAAATTCACTGGTATTGTCTAATTACCGGCGGAGTGTCCTGGCAAAAAATTGCGAGGCGCGTTGAGTAACTTATAACATACGTTCCGTGGCTGGAACGAAGGGAATTCGTTGGGTTTAGAATTCTTACGGTTCGTTATGGTCGCGAGAATCTTAAGGGTTGTTCACGACGCTGCTAATGGAACAACGTTCAATTTCCCTATTCATTAGGATTTAGCAGATCGTTAACGTTGATGTAACACGTATTTTAAACGAACAATGCTTCACGGTTGTGACATGCAATTCGCTAGATTGCATCAGGGGGTAGCGATCACGACTTAACATTCATAAATGTGACGATCGAACGTGACTCACGCTTCGTCTCCACGAATTCGTTACCTAATATCTAAATATAATTCACCCTTGAAACCACTGATAATTGCGTAATTGAAATAACACGTAAACAATCAAATTCTTTATCGCGACATTTTTGCGACAAACATTTACTCTTTAAAGTGCTGAAAGGTTCAAGGGAAACAAAGGAACTCGGCTACTTTTGACCGATCGGAGAAGCTATAATGCGCGAGGATCGGCAATTACGAAATACCTCCGAAGGTATCGGGTTCGTAATGGAACCTTTCGCGAGGTGGTCGTCGGCGAGCGCGAGCTCGCAACACACCGGTGCCTCCTAACCGTAATTAGCGTATTTTCGCTCGGCCGTATCCAGAATGAGGGACGAGGGACAAAGAAAAGAAGGGGTGGCGCGCGCGAGCCTGTCGGGTTACGCGCATTAAAAGAGTTACGAATGTATTCCGGGCCGATCCGAAACTGGTTCGTCCTCGTTCCTCGCGGCCGGCCGTCCTCGTTGTTTCATGCAAATCGCTCGTTAGTCGAAACACCTGAAATTCCTGTGTGGGACGGCGTACATTGTCTTCGGCCGCTCCATGGATTATTCATCCCCGCGGTCCGCCTCGCGTCGAGCTGTGACAGCCCGAGTTGAGCGACGTACAGACGGACGAGACTCTTCCTCGGTCTCTCTGAATAGAATTTCTGCCACGCTGAAGCATCTTCTAGCTTTCTCATTTCTATCAAATACGCTTCATTTATCTGACAGACGGCTGTCCGAAAATAACTTCGCGTGATCTCGAAGCGAAGCAAAGTGATCCGCTACTTAGGATTTTATTATATTTATTTTACCGGTTCTTTTTTTAAATCACTTTCCAGTATCGCCGTTAAAGATACAAAGAGCGATAAATAAGTTTCAGAGGTATCGCCGATGAGATAAGTATCGTAGCCTCGGTATCTCGCGACTAATTCCAGAAGTCGCCCTTTCAACCTCCGATAGCCAATAAGTCGAGAGTTCTAATAATTACCGAGGAATGCGCCGCACGAAACAGATTTCCCCTGCGCGACGCACTGGAGTGTGTCACGAATCGCGTTCAACCGCGCCGGCCCGACCTTCGCCGTCCAATTAGACTCATTAGGCGTCGCGTATCGGGAGGGGGACACCCACGCGGTTATTCAAATGCGCCGCTTTTATGCAGTTTCGGATCGATCGGGCATGATGCAATTTGTTGTTCTTTGCGCCAGTCCATCCCGGCCGTGGATACCATTACGTATTCACGAAGTATTTACAAAGATAAATTAGAAGACGGATCGGCCGGGGTCCGGGGTCCGATGATTTATCGCGAGCCTCGGGGAACATCGCCGCTGCTACGGGCGATCATTAAGCATCCGGCGGTCTAACGGGCACGAAAAGAGTCTCCGGAATACGATCAACGCCCGCGTTAGACGCTGAATGGCCGACGATTTCATTCATCCTGTACGAATATCGAGAAACAGAGTGTCGCCATGTAGTAGCTCGGCCGTTTCATCAGAAGCGGCGAGCCTCTTCGTGGGTTGCCGCGGCCCACGCGTGCCCTTCGCTCATTCACCGGAGTGTTTCGCTTCTTCTAACGCCTATCGCAATCTTCCTCGAATCCAGGAAGGCAGCAGCTTCCACGCGAACGCTTCGAATTCATGCTCCTTCGTTTGCATAAGAACCTATCAGTCAACGATCTCCGTATGGTTCGAACGTAGCCACGGCCGTTCAATTATCCGGACGGTTGAATATTTCGTGTAAATTAGTCACGGGGCCGGTCCCGTTTTACTACGGCCTGTCCCTTGGGGACGTGGAAGGGCGGGCGGTTTCGCAATGGAGGATAATCCGGTGAATGGGCCGCGCGGTTTCATTCATCCGCGACGCTCCGCGGCAACCTTGCTCTATGCCTAGGCAGTTATGGCAGGCGTGACTAGGCTGGAGGTCCCGATTATGATAAAGCGCGTGGGCGAGCCCACGCTCGCCCTTCGCTCGTTCATTCATAAATTCAACTCTCACCGCGTGCCGCGATCGCGACCGACCACCAGAGAAAGCTGCTCGCCAGAAACACCCGGGAACTGAGAGGTCGAGGGGGAGAGAGAGAGAGAGAGAGAGAGAGGGAGAGATAGAGACAGTAAGAGGGAGAGAGGAGACGCCAGGTCGCGCCGCGGATACGCGACACGCGCGTCTCTCCATCGCCTCTCGCGTTACACCTTCCTGCGCGCGAAGATCCCTTGTCCGCGGGTTCTGCGTTTCTTTCTGCGCTTGGTCCCCGGAGATCTTACTTGGAAGCTGAGAAATGAGGGTTCTTTGCTTGTAGGTATCTAGATACCTCGAGTATACCGCTCAGGGCAAGGCTGGCCGGCCTTTTACGGTTCTAGCGTGAATGTTTTCATTATTTAATAACGAAAAGTATTTAATAATTGCGACACCTCGGACCCGGACAGAAGTCCAATTACACGAGCGAGCTCGTTAAATCGGTGTTTAACGTTTCTTAAAGACATTCTAATACTCCGGAACAGATATTGCGCACTATCAGTGCCAGAAAAATCGTTAGCGTTCGCTAACGTGGCATATGAAAAACAGCACGTGTACCTATGCGGGAACGTTTTTAAGCGCTGCGACCATTCATAAAACCGGTTCGATCGATTATGAAACCGCCGGTACCGTACTCCGTTTATAATTCTGCTGCTCCAGCGTTCGCCGCGATCGAGACGTTCCAACGATTACCCGTGTTACAGAAGTGTCCGCCGACGCCGGCGAACGTCGCTGGAACGTCGACGCGGCCGAAAGAAGCGGGAACAAGAGCGGCTCGCTCGAACGGAGGGGCAATTCGACGGGGTAACGGCGTCCGAGCGTCGCGGATTCTCGGGGCGAGCTCGATCGGTCTAATAAGCCGTCATTATCCGAGTCCATAACTAATAAACGTCATCCGGACGTCACGTGGCCGGCGGCCGCGTGATTTAACGACCGCCCCGCGCCCGCAACCCTCGTCAACCCCGCGCGTCACGGCGACTCTCCCGCGAATTCCCTCGCGAGTCGCGAGCGCAGCCGAGCGAGCGAGGCCGCACGTCCGAGTATCACCTGGAGCCGCGCAAAGCCGCCGGCAGGTTTCCAAAGCGGTCTCGGAATCGGCGGACGATTATGCGGACCGGTCTATTTCTAGAAGCACCGAGTCGACGGACATACTAATTATTTTTTATCGGCTCGTTACCACTCGTCTTTGGCAACGGAGCCGAGCCAGGCGGCTCGCTGGAGGGAAAGAGGATAATGGAAGCGTAGGGGGTGTCGGGGAGGAAAAATGGAAAGTGCGCGAAGATTGGACGAAGCTTGGACGGGGGTGGAAGAATCGAAAGACCAAGCCCATTCTGTAACCCGGTCACACTTTCGCGTTATCTCTCGTGTTACGGAATCCGATAGACGCGACACAGATAGGTGACCATACATCGAATACCTCGCGCCTGTCCCGCTTCCATTTGTAATCATAATTAATGATCATAATTACGAAGACACATGTTCCGCGCGATGAACATTCCGGGCACGATTGCGCGGATGGGAACCGCGTTGGTCGCCGTTGATCGACGCGCCGACGGGAAATATTAACTCATCCCCGATATCTCCTCGTCACGGAGACTCGAAGTTCTAAACTCCGAGTCCGATTTCTTAACGCCGCGACTACCGAGTTCATTCAAATTGCCTAACGCGCATTCCTCGTTCGAAATCGCAGTACTCCGACCGCGCGCCGCTAACTTATTTAGTAATCTCTCGCGACAGCATCCGCGGGTTTCCAGTGATCCCAGAAAAATACATGCAAAACAGGTTATCCGACCGCGGCGGCAGTTCCAGCGGCGACGTCGAAAGAACCGCGGTGAGCCGTGCCATCAGAATTTTCCAACGCGCCGATCGAAATCGATCT